TCTGACTGTGGCTTGGGCTATTTTTTTGTGTTGGTTTTTTTTTTTTTCCTTCTCTTTTCTTTTTCATGCATCAATATGGTTATTAAAAGGCCTGACTGGGTCCACAGTTACATGTGGACAAACTTACTATCTTGAAATCAAGTCCTGGGCTGTTACTATTTTTATATTATGGCCTGCTTGTTAGGGTGCATCTGGATTTGAATCTTAATATGTTTTAAGTAAATAGGAAACTTGAAAATAATATTTAAGTATTGTAGAACCTTGTGGAACTCTTAGTGCATATTTCACAAGCCCTGTTGATTGTTAATGATGATATCTGAAATTAGAAGGAACTGTCATTTTGATGCATAAATAAATGCATGTTACAGTAGAAGCAATGAAATCTAATTTTTAAATAAAAGCTCTTATTTTTAAATAAGGCAGTCTTCAACTGTAATTAACTACCACCAATCAATTCATACTAACTGCTCATTTACTTTCATGGATTAATTTAATTCTGGACTAGGTCTTTGGCTAATGAGAATAAAATGTAGAAAAATAAACCCCACAAAACCAAACAAACAAATTCCCTCACTCTCCTACCCCTCCCCCCCACTCAAAAAAGAAAAGGGGGAATAAAAAAGGGAATCATAAAAATATAGGCATATACTTGAGGTACACATGAGGAACAGATGTGGCAAGTAAGAAGATGCTCACTTTTGCACATGCCAGGTAAAAGGGCAGCATAATCCCGTGGGTGAGGAAATTGCAGAGAATTGACCAGATTATGACGAGATACCTTATTTCTATTTTCAAGACTTAGGTCTCCATACACCACCCAGAACCCCAGGAATTAGAATTTACTTTTGAGCCCCCAGGCTGTTATCTGCAGCTGTGCAATGTAGGAGCACACTTTGGATACATCAGTATTTGAGGGCACTGGCTAATTTTTGGCTAGCAGTGCAAGTGCGTGTCTGTTTGCTGATGTAACCATGTTATGTCTTACATAACTTCTGCAAGGCAGGTACAAACTGCAGAGTGGTGAACCACTCAGACCTGATGATGGGTCATCTGCTTACGTGGTTAGAACCAGTCAACCTCAATTTACTAAGAGTACCCACACAGTTTTGTTGAGCTAATGATATTCCAGTAAATTCAAATTCAGAGATAAGGAGTTCTTGTTTTATTTAAGAGTAAGTGATGGGTAGATCTTCGTGCTACCCATGTACAGGGTAGACACTCCTCTGCTAGATTTGCACATAGCATTCAAGCACTCAAGCATTTGTGGCCCCTAGGTTGGATTGCTGCAGTGCTGTACAGGGCTGCACCCTCCCAGAATCACAGAATAGGTCTGGTTATGTTTTTATGAAAGTATTTCTTGCTGTCTTTACTGCTAGCTTCTGGGTCCGACAATAGAGGGGTTTTTTCCAGTCACTTGGTGTTTTGGAGAGCTTGTTAGGAGACACTGAACAAGGTTGTTCATATTCATGGAGCAAAAGGCAGCTCTGACAGTGACTATCTGCATTTGCTTTCGCTCTTGTCTCTGAGCACATGAATACACTCAGAGCTCATGTGTTGAACTGTCTTTTTCTGACAAACGTTGGGAGAACTCAATACTCTCTCTTGCACAGGCTTCAGTAAAAGAACAAGAATTTTCTACCTGAGTCATAGTGAGGACAAGTACTTTGGGCAGTACAGAGGAAATCCTCACAAACCAGAAGTCCGGGCCTTCCCTTACACTAGCCTGGCAAAATTGTAGCTAGTAAGGACCCTGGAACCTCATGCAGTGAGAGATGTATGGTCCCAGGTGTATGTGGCACTCTGCTCTTAGATTTGCATCTGCTTTCATGCAAGGTACTGTTTTAGCATGCAAAGTACTAATTACGAATCTGAAACCTCTGAATGGGAAGCTGTTCATTCATACGAAAGACCTTTTCCTGGGGACACAGTGCCTTTCAATGAGGGTACAGAAGCTGGAAGCTCATTCAGATATCAGGAAGTTGACAGAAGGCAGAATGTTATCTGAGAGAGCTTGGAACTGGTAGTCCCAAAATCCTCCTACTTCAAGGTGGGCTGCATCTCGGTATATTTGGCTCCTGAGCAATGAGAGGGAGCATGATAATGGGATCTCATAAATCTCACAGCATACAGTAGCTGATTGGTTAGAATATACATGAAGTACTGAGCAAAGAGGAGCTTTTTTTAGAAGTAGACTGTTTTATAACTATATTTTAAATGTTTCATGGAATGCCTAAAGCAAAAGATAGCATTTCTTTTTAATCAGGGTATTTATTTGTTGAAATAAATGAATAATTTATTTACTTGCTATCTTGGTTGTATGTCTTCTTTCTGTGGATCCTTGTCAGGATGTACTTCAAATGGATATTTTTAGACAGCAGTGTTGGTCTTGGGGAATAATTGAAGCATAGCAGTAGGTGAGTTATATGTCCCTGTAGTTGGCCTTTGGACCTTTTGAATGTCAATTTTTATAGTAATTTCGTTACTTGAAAACATGCCGTGGTGATTAAGTGTTCACATCTTTTATCCCAGAAAATCAATTGCCATCTTTGCATTGATCAGTCAGGAATACTGCAAGCCTTACTATGTTGTGTTCAGCTGTCTCCATGATACACATAAAACAAGTACAGGGTAATTTTTCCATCTGACTTTCCTTCAGTCTGATGTTGTCTCTACTGTTGTTAATGCAGATCAGGTAGTATAACTCAAAGGAGTCTAAATGCACGCCTTCTAAGTATGTTAATGGGTATTTGTCTAATTATTTGTCTATTTTGACAGTGACTTGTGTGCATATGTGTTTGTGTATTTATTTGCACGCCTGCATGTACTTGTCAAAATACCTTCCAGAGTTTGCTTCCAAAATGCTGGGCCTGGTTCTCAAACTTGTACAATTACTTTACTTTAAAAGATTTTTGGCAAATACAGATAAGTGAAGAAACAAGTGCAATCCAAGAGTGGTCTCGTATCAAGAGGTCTAAATTAACAGTTGATGAGATAATGAAAACCAAGTATTTCTATAACAAAAAAAAATCACAGGAATACCTTTGAATATTTATACCATTTACTGCATATTTAATTATAAAAGCATCTTGTATGAAATAAATATTTGGCAAAATTAAGCTACAAAAGCATCCTAGGACTGCAACAAAATGACACAAAAAGAATGCAGGGAAGCATCGTTCTTTGCTGTTTATAAGTTAAATTACTTCAGCTGATTGTCTCAAGTGATGTTAAAGAACTTCATCTCCAAGAGAATGAAATCACTCTCTGCGATATACTTAAAAGTAGAGTTAATGGCTTAACTTCCTTCATAAGAGCATGAAAATGTAGTTCTGGATGTTTTAAGTACTCGAGCAGAGGTATATGTAAATAAGGAATCTACTTGTAATAAGATACAAGGATTACCTAATTTTGCACTGATAGATGACTGATGATAGTGTAGACAGTTTGAAAGTATGACCATTAGCTTGAGGGCTCCATGTGCCAGGATCTCTATAGACAAGACATTTTCCATGAGCATTATACAAACTTTCAAAAAATGTAAGATTGTGAGAGATTTCTAAAATATTCTAGGAAATGGATCTTGGGGCAACCCTTCACAGAAACTGTGTGCTATCATAATCTAAGCTCAAGCAATTTGACAAATAGGAGTCAACTTTATTCAGTGTTGTAATGACTTCATAGCATATGATAGAAATAAATAATAATATGTGAAAAGAAGCTAGATACTCCCCCAGCTTGTAAACAGTTTATGGCATACATGTTCCTATGAAAAAACTGCTGAATTTTCAAATATAGTTACTGCTGCAGCAATTCTCTAATTTAAAGATCATTTTTTCAGTGAAAATAAAATTCCTGAACAGGCACAAAACTGTGGCCTCGCTTGATTTCTGCGCCAGTTTCATGCCCAAATAGATTGCATTATGCTGTGAAGATACCAAAACGGATACAGAACTGATATAAAAGCTGATATAAACCCACAACACTAGAAAGGCATTATCAGGCTCATGATGTAAAGACTCATCCCGATTTCCTCTGACTTTCAGAAGTTTGGGTGTGTGGTTGAATACTTAACCTGCACGCAAAGGTACTGCCACGGGGTGTGACAGTCACGGGCTGGTTTCTGCAAAGCCATTATCCAGATATCTGACAGGAACTGTAGCTCTGATAGGCTCTAGCATATGCAGAATATGACCACTTTTGGAAGCAAGTCTAGAAGATTCATCAGAGTTTTTCTCACTCCTGTGATAGATACTGTTACATTTTAATGTCTTTTGTAATGGTCCTCCCTTTTTTTTTTTTTTTTCCCGCAGAGATGCAGGGCAGAAATCTGGGTCAATAAGTCTGGTCTTTTTTTAATATTAGCTAACCTTCATGCCTTCCCTTTCTTGAATGACCCTGTTAAATCCATCTCCCAGCATGGGTTACTAGTGGGTTATTATTTTCCTATATCTTTATACTAGTGTAATTAATGAAATTACTAAATCACATATATCCCGGAACTGTTTATTAAGAATTGCTTGCTGGTACTCTTTTCAGCCTTCCCTGCCATAATTTGCCTTTTTTTTGTTCTAATGAGACTTAGTTCTCTCCCTCTTATATAAGTTTTTCCTACTAACCAGTGCTAGATGAATTTCCTTTACCACACTTCCTTTTTCATTATTTTTTACTTTGATTAGTTTTATACCTAAACTGGAACAATTAACATAGAAGAAAACACATAATAAAAATTATGATAAATATCAACACATTATAAATTAGATGTATTACAGTGATTGGGTTAAACATATGTTGAACCAAACTTGAGACTTAAATGAAATAAAATGTTTATGGAACAAATCTGTGACATACAACAGCATAATCATAACAACCTACCGGAGGCATAGGATAAATAAAATGTAAAAATAAGAATTGCACAGTGACTCTTAATGGTTAGTTGCATTTTCTCCCGGAATTCAAGCGTAATTATAATAAATTTTCCAACTGTTTCTTTCTCCTTGCAGTACTTGGGGTGTATAGAAGTCTTACGCTCAATGAGATCTCTTGACTTCAATACTAGAACACAGATTGCAAGGTAAGACTTTGTACAACTATGCTTTTTTAAGTAACTTCTGAGTTGTGTCCCCAGAGTGGAAAGGCTGGGAAGATGGCAAAGCACATAGTAAAGAATTTTTGGACACCTTCAGTCCATTTTCTAATTTTGCTTTTACAGGTAAATCTCTTACCTGGTGCTAATACAGCTCCAACAGGGCTTAAGGGATATTTTCTTCGTGGATTTTTTGATATGCCAGGAAGTACTTTAGAAAATGTTTGCCTGTTTGTTATGCCAAGTAAGGCACTTATCTGGTTACCAGTTTCATGACATTCAAGCCGGTGAGAATGAAAATACTCTTAAAATCTATGATGCATGGGCAAAATTATTCTAGGGAGCTGTTTTGGGGACCTGTGTTTATAGATTTTTGTATTAATTTCTTATGAAAAGGTGTCAGAATTTCTTGGGAAAAGATGTCAGAGTGCAAACCATTTGTATCCTAAAAAGGATGCAAATTAAAATATATCACCACAATGACACCAGAGACAAATGGAATAACATTTTCTTTTTCAGACTGTATGTAAGAAACAATAAGCTTGTATTACGTTCTTACTGCAATTCTTTTAAATGTGTCATGGTATTTTCGAAAGAGCAGTACATAAGTGCAACGCTCTCTAAAGAAGTGTCCATGAATCATTTTGTTCTAAGAAGAATATTTTCTAAGAACTATAGGAAACGGTGTTTTGCAGGCATTTTCACTTGAAAACCTGAGTCACTGATTTCAGAGGAATGTGATTTCAGAGGAACGTGGCACTCATAGCAACTCGAGACCGCAATTTGCAATTTCTGGAATTGAAATAATGAAGGAATCTTTTCCAAAGAAACACGTATAAAGTGACACTACTGGATACAGTCCTTGAATTTCATCTCTTTGAGGCATCTTACAGTTGCCAATAAGTCTATCATAAGCCATTTGTCGTGTCATAAACAGTTAAGTGTTTCTTTTATCAAATGAGAAAAATTGCTTGGTTTTAGGCATGCATGCTGATCATATGGTCTATATGCACTGACTTTTGAGTTATACTTGCATACAGCAGCTTTGAGTTGGACCCCATAAGTCCCCACAAACACTGATTTGTCAAAGATGCTGCATTGATGAAAGGCATAAAAGCCCAAGGAGAGGTAAATGACAGAATTCTCTTTTTCAGGCGATGTGGACTATGAAGGCATTTGAGAATTTTACTACTGTGCTTTTAAAAAACGTCATCATGTACATTTCTGATGTATTTGCAGCAGTGAACTTTTAAAATTATTTCATGTCTAAGCAGACTTGTAGTTCCAATGCAGGTGGTCCATTTGTATTTCCCACTCGGAAGCTCAGTGATACTGGCCCGTGAAACAGTTGTGATAATTACTGGGTTTGGTTTCTATAACCAAAAGTGAACCGAATTAATCTTTATTTTTCTGCCATTTCCTTCACTGTGTGTCTTCATTGGAATAGTTTTGTACTTTTCTTATTAATTATTAATTAAAGGCACAAGTCTGCCATTAATACTTAAGCATATTTGGTGATCTGAAGCAGTATGGTGTACACAAACAAAATATCTTTGTCTTGTAGTTCCTTCAATATGAAAAAAAATTATTCTTGGCTTTTAATGCGAAACAGACTTTGAATTATGTTTTTTTCTGTTGAAGTTATAGCATATTTTACTACATGGTGGTTATTTTGCTGTCCCATCTTCCTCCGATCATGTCTATATCACAGGATATTTTTTTCAAGGAGGAAGTCATATCTTCCTGTTTTGCTTTTTATTTTGCATTTACAGGTTTTTTGTTTATCATGAAACACTGAAAACTCATAACTTTGATCATGTAATTCCTGACCTAAAACTTTTCTGAAAGCAGAAGTTTTTAGGTGACTTTTGAATCAGGATCTAGCATCTTAGACTGCTTTTCATTAATTAATCTGGCTCTAGAAATCTCCTTGTCATGTCTTATGTTTTTGGTACTCACATACTTTGTCATACAGCATTTCTCATACAAGCCTATGGTTTATTAAGAAAATATTATTAAAGAATTACTAAAATTCACGTGTGCTGATTAACTTCCTCATGTGTATTAAGAAACATAACATGGCCCTTAAGGTGTGTACTGAATTAATAAGGCTGATGCTCTGATATTACATGCACCAATTCCCTCTTTAAGAAGACACCTGGCGCCAAACGGTCTGTGCAGCCCTTTGATTACAAATGAAATAAAAGCACCTGAAACTTACATTTCTGTCCATGACATCACACATTTATTTTTAGGTATGTCCATTGCTGATTTCTCCGCAGCTATCACCAGTAAAACTCTCCTGGTAGCCTGATGGCTTCTGGTGCAGTGTGACCTGCAGAGGCCTGGGCCTGTAGATCTGGTAACGTTAGCCGTGGCTGCATCAGCTGAGGAACCCGGATCCGTAGCTTCAGTGAAGCCTCTCCTGTGTGTAAATTTCTCTGTGCTGTTTTTCTGCAGCCACAGAAACAGATGTCACAGCAGCTGTGATCCCTTTCTGACCCAGAACTTCGTGAATTGATCCCGCTGCATGCATCTAACCTGTTTGACCTGTTATTTTGCGAAGACTTTGCAAAACCAGTCATAGCAGAAAGTGATCTGTCTGGGGCCAATATGAGTTCTGGCATTATGCAGTGTTTACTAAATACGATTTAAAAACAGTTAGAAAAAAATGAGTCAAGTTACCTGATTTAGTGTGGAAGTCTGCATGCATCTCTTCCTAATAAACAAAGCATTGTGTTTTTCACGTACAAAGCACTTACTCCTCTTCTAGCACTGCCTCACGTCTGTCCCTACCTGCTTTCTTGCCCTTTTTCTCCTTGTTTCTGAGCTCAAACATAGGAAGTCAGTCATTAGGAATCCTCCATTTACCTTCTTTCTGTCTGCCAGTTATTACGTATGTCACTTTATGTCTCTGCTTGCCTTGAGGATGAGCCAAATCCCAAAGTAGGATAAGCTCCTAGAATAAAAAACTTGTGTGGCTCAGTCCTGGGAGGGTGAGACATGTAGTCTGTGGCTCTGCTGAAACATCTGGGTATTATTTTAGACAAACTGTTAGTCCCAGTCACAGACAATTCTGTGATTAAATGAATTAGTGCTTGTAAATGGCACTTAAATTGTTGAGCGAGCATTTAGAAATCACTTAAAAACTGAGCTAAGATTTCCACTTATCTGGTGAATTAGAGATAAGAAATCAATGAACAGAGCTTGTCCAGATAACTTGAATGGCTTTGAACATCCCAGCTGTTATAATGCATTAGGAAAGCATATGCATCAGTGTGTATGCATGGACCAGTCTGACAAATGAACAACTCTGGCTTCAATTTCAGGGACTGCATTGAAGCCCCAGTGTAAATAGTTTGGTCAGTGGCCTTTCCTGCCTTATTGCAGTCATGTGAAATATCAACTCATGCCATCTAATGCTGTTGTACCTAGCCTGTAACTTGTGTTTGTTTTGCTTTTTCACTTTTTTGTAAACTAAAATGTTAAAACTTGCAACAAGATGTTTATCTCCGTGTGAAAGCAAGTGAGCAAGCACTTCCACGTGTCCTACACTTCACTGGATCTTAACGACCTTTGTGGTGCCTTGCAAAGCTATTGTTGTCCTAATTTTGTGTCTGATTTGAGAAAAGTGAACAGCTATGTACAATTTATAATAGATTTTCCCCTTTATGATTCACATTTGGAGTCTCAGGATTCTCTCCCTCCAGGAGAAACAGAAGAAGTAGAGTAGTATAATCACTTGTATTGTATTTATTCTTTTCTGTAATGAATGTAACATCATGTGAACTCTTGAGCAAATAAATGGATGCACAAGACAAGGGTCAGCAGTTATACACAGTGATAAATGGAAGCCAGCTGAATCCACGTGTTGCATCATTAATTATCCAGTGATAATTCTGGTAACACATGTGAAGTCAAGATAACTTTCCTGGGGAGTAAGACGAACAAAAGCATTTAATTTTCAACATAATGGAGCAACAGGAGGACTAGCAGACGAGACTACTGGGCTAACCACAGGTGGCAAGTGGTTAAAGTTCATCAGAAACCTACCATCGTCCTCACAGAAAGGGGCCCCTCTTAAGTTTCTGTGGCCAGGCCCTTTGTGTCTTTGGGCTTTCTATTAAAAAAAAAAATTAAAAATTAAAAATCAGGTAAAACTCTTTTGCAACATGTGCGGTGTTTGCAGTTCATGTAATATGTTTGCATCCTTATTGTTCAAGCTGTTCTGGTGTAATGAGTCCTCACTTCTGTGTTGTATGCATGAGTGAGTTATGCACTGGTTTGAATTAGATGTTGCATGCACTGTTTTGTTGCACGTCCAAGTCTGGGCTACAAGGGTGCATGTTCACTGGCATTTAATGGAATGCCATCAGTTTGCTGCATGCAGCATCAGAAAGTCTCACCTCCCCATGCTGAGTAAAATATTATGTTGGGTGCTGTCTTAGTAGCAAGTAGATCAGAGGAGTGAAATACTTCGTATCAGTTCTGGACCCAAATCCAAACTCTGATCCCAGCCCTCTCCATGAGCCTTGTTGGGCTGAACAACTGGAAAGAGATTCCTCTCCAAATTTGTGGCCTGAACTTTATTAGAGAATATTATTAGAGGAAATCCTTTTATGCCAATATCCCAAGCTTTTGGAGGAGAGATGGTGGAAATCCAAATTTTAGAGCTGGATTTGAGTCCAGTGCTAAACAATACGAATGAAGCTCAGTTGATGTGGTGTTTCAACTATATCTGTATTCTTTGCAGAAATCCACTGTCAGCAAGCATCACTGAAAGAAAGGGTGGAAGACATTGAAAAGGAAGAATGTTTCTCCTGTGGTTTTTGAAGGTGGATAGGTAATGTGTTATCTGCAGTGAATTCTTTACTCAGTGTCCTCCTTAACACGCTATCTTGCTTAGAAGGTGAGTGCAGTTCACCTCTGCCTGCTGCTGTGTGTACCCTGGCTGAGGGGCACTGCTTAGGGGATGGTGCTTAGGGGAT